ATTTTTTGTTTGTTTGTTTGTTTTTCTGAGATGAGGTCCTCTACCAAGATGGCCTTAAACTTCTGATCCTCTTGCCTCCGCCTGAGTGCTGAGATTACAGGTGTGCCCCCATGCCTGACCTACTGATGGCTTTTTAAATTTTCATTCAAGTGGTCTGGAGATGTATGTATACTTGTGTTGTCATCACCACTCTGAAAGTTTTCTTTTGTACAGACAGTCAGGAAACAGAAACGGATGTGTTTAAGAGAAAGGGTGGACATGATTGTGCAACCTGTAATGCCAGAACTTAGGAGGCCGAGGCAGGGAGATGGTGTGCCTGGGATTCTATAAGGCCTGATCTCAAAAGCAAAAAAAAAAAAAAAAAAAAAAAAAAAAAAAAAAAAAGCAAAACAAAAGAAAGCAACTCAGAAGATTAATTTGCATTATTGCTGTTGAAGTCAGGCAGAGATGAGATCCCAGAGACGATGGATTGGAGAAAAATCAAGAGAAGCTGAGCAGTAAGCCTAGACTTAGAAAGAGCCAGGCTCTGGGGTTTCATGAGGCTCTTCACTTCCGGCCCTTGGGCTCAGTGAGAACCTTGAAACCTTTTGATATCACCCTTTAGGCTTAATCCATCTTGGGATAGCTCCTCTGAGCATGCCAGCAGAAGACACTCATGTGGTGCCCTATCTCCATTAGCACCCAGGCTCTCAGGAAGGTCACCTGGGTATCTATCCATTCAGTCATTCATTCATCATGCCTGACTGCAGTTGCCAGCTCATGTTAGGTCTAAGTTGCTTCCTGGATTCTCCTTCCCTTCTTTGTTGAGGCCCATATTCTTGTTCTGCTTAATTCTGTCTGTCTCCTCTTTACAAGATCTCCCTGTCTCCTGTTAGCCTTGCTAGTACATTCTCCATGGAGCAGGAAGAACAATGTCTCCAAAGTACAGCCCTGTTTACCACCTTTACCTGCTTAAAAACCTCTGTGTGGGAGTGGAGAGAGAGCTCAGTGGTTAAAAGGATAGACTGCTCTTGCAGAGGGCATGAGTTCAATTCCCTGCACCCACACTAGGGTTGCTCATGACTGCCTGGAACTCTGGCTGTAGGAGGAACTGATACTTCTGGCTTTGGTTGGTACCTGATCTCGGGTGCACATACGCACATACCGACACACATTAATTAAAAAATATTTTAAAAAATCTTCTGGGCCAGGCAGAGTCAGAGGCAGGTGGATCTCTATGAGTTCAAGACCAGCCTGGTCTACAAGAGCTAGTTCCAGGACAGCCTCCAAAGCCACCGAGAAACCCAGTCTCAAAAAAACAAAAAACAAAAAACAAAACCTCTGTGTCGAAACTAACTAGAATAAATATCTCAAAAAAGTGACAAAAGTGCAGAAATCAGAAATATGAGAGAAAAGATGATAGTATATCATTTTGTTGTTTTTTGTTTTGTTTTTCAAGACAGGGTTTCACTCTGTAGCCCTGGCTGTGCTGGAACTCACTCTGTAGACCAGGCTGACCTTAGACTCACAGAGATCCATCTGCCTCTGCCACCCCTGCCCAGACATTTTTTTAAATTAAAAAAAAAAAAAGGAGAGGGCTTACCATCATGCACACGTCCCTGTGTTTGATTTCCTAGCAGTCAAGCATGATAGCACATGCCTGGAATCCCAGTTCTGGGGAGGTAGAGAGGGAAAATCAGGGGCTCAGGACTACACAGAGAGTTCCAGGACAGACTGGAATACACAAGACCCTGTCTCAAACCAAACAGCAAAATGAAGCAAAACATCTCTCTATACCTTCAGGATAGCCCAACCTTATTCTGGCTTTTGATCTTGCCCCTGGGAACATTTTAGTCCCTTCTTGGCTTCTACAGTACAGGAGCCAAGAAGGGACTAAAGTACAGGAGCCAAGAAGGAACCAAGTTCCAGGGAGATGCTACTGTTCCCCTTACCCTCAGCTATCCTCTGGCCACCCACTTTTCCAGGCTTAGCTCAGGGCTCCCCTCTTTCAGAATGCCCCCAGAATCCTCTGGGATCCACATCACGTGTGTGACCCTCTTCTGACCCTATCCCCCCAACTCCTGATTGTGCAGGAACCAGAGATAGCCCATTCTATGACCCCTTGGCTCAGCCCAGGACCAGCCCGTCACCAGACTGCTTGCTGCAAGTCTTGTTAAGGATGGAAAAATCTACATAAACAGGACCTGCAGATGCCTGATGGGTGCTGGGCTGGTATAGAAAGACTGGCATCTGTCTTCCCCTTTGGGTCAGGTTCTGTCACCCTCCAGTCTCAGGGGTTACATAACAGCCTCAGGACCCACAGTTTTAGCTACTGAACCCTCGACCTCCATGTCCTTTAGGCAAGATATATGACCCCAGTCAGTCACCCTGGAAAATCAGTGGAAGCCTGACTCTTCCCGTGTAAGGACAGCAGCACCCTATCTGCGGGTGTTGGCTCCCTTCCATTGGAGAACTGAAGCCTCGTTAAAGCTTGCCTGTGGCCACCACACACCCTCATCTCTACAGTCAGCTCCGTCCTATTTCTATTCTGTCTGTGTTGAAAGACCCCCAAGTCTCTGGTAAACAAGCCCAAGGAGCTTTCTGAGCATTGCTAACAAGACAGAGCACCTCAGAGTAAGTAGATTGCTGTCCTTGGTGACCAGCATTGGGCAGGGGGAAGCTCAGCAGGGATTGTTTTGGGACACTGGGAATTCACTCTCCCCATGGTTTGTTTTTTTTTTTTTTTTTTTTTTTTTTTTTTTGATGAGATCTTGTTAGGTAGCCCAGGCTGGCCTTTAAGCCTTTAACTTAGTCTCTGGCCTGAAAGAGCTGAATCCATCATCTTGGAAATCCCTTTTCACAGCAGAGGAGTGGCATTTCCTTCATCCTGTGACACACAATCCTGTTTCCCTCTCCTCCTTCACTCAGCAGTCCCTTCTGGAAATATGACTCCAAGTCTCCTCTCAAACCCCCCAAACCTTCCTAGGTGTCCTCAACCATTCCATCCTAAAACTTTACCAGTACCCTAAATTTTATATCAAAAAGTTCCTTCTCTGTTCCCTGTGCGGGTAGGTGAGGTGCCCCTTACCTAGCCTTCTCCATGGTGGGCAAAGCTGGTCTGGTCTCCTGTTATAGACAGGCAGGGAGGTAGCTTTCTCTTTTATACCGTCAGTCCCCCCTACCCCTCCTGCTTCCCCACACAGCTGCCCAGAAATGTGACACTCCCCCATCTATTTCAAGCTGTCTCCTCAGGGCTCAGGAACACTAGCCTCTGCTCAATGTGACCTGGGCCAACATTCTTCCCATGACAATGAGAGCTGCTGAACACAGAAGGAAGATGCCTTGGGGGGTGTTGAGGAGACAGAACAGCAGCCTCCTCACCAGTACTTTGGTCAGCCAAAAAGCACCCCCATCTCCAGGCATCTCCTTTCATTAATTGTTTTTTTTTTATTATTATTATTATTGTTGTTGTTGTTGTTGTTGTTATTATTATTATTATTATTATTATTATTATTTCCTTTCACAATGCCCAGGCTGGCCTTGAACTTGAAGCAGTCCTCTTGCCTCTGCCTTCCTCCTGAATGCTGGGATTTTAGGAATGTGCCATGTCAAGCTTTGCTCTGTTCTAAGGAGCCTCGGTTCTAACTGGATCCCTGACTGGCCATTTGACCTGGAAGGAACTGCTGGCCGCTCAGGATCCCTAGCCATGAACAGATTTGACTCTACTTCTTGGGGCCTCGTTGGAGCTCCAGGTGCTGGGTTGTAAGAAATTCCCCAAACCAGAGGCTGTCCCCACACAGAGAGGGAGGATGGGGTAGGTAGGCAAGGGAGTACTGCTCTTCCACTCCCAACCCAGCCTTCCCACCGAATGGACAGTCTGTTTTCCTCTCTAGTCATCGGGAAGGAATAGAGAACAGAGGCTTTCGGGTGAAGGAAACTTTATTTGGCTGGCAATCTGAGGTGGTGAAGGGGCGGTGATGGGTAAACTCATGAACTGGACCAGAGAGGCCCTTGGTAGGTTTCACATGTCATGTTTCCCCTGGACCCAGCAGGTGGCATCTCTAAGTCCTGTTGTTCAGAACATCCGTCCTCCACCTCCCTATAAACTGGCCCCTTCTCCCATTACTTCCAACTGGGCATCTGAAACTCAGAACTAGGTTATTTATAGTCAAGACCAACGGAGGTGTGACAGAGAGCTGTGTTTACAAACATGGGGTCACCTGAACCAGAGAGGTCCAGAAGGCAGCTATCGCTCCCTTCTACTCTTCCCTACAGACCAGGGTAGGGAGACAAGAGTAGGGAAGAAGTGAGGGTCGGGGGTTTTGATGCTGGTGCACGTGACTCAACGTGTGTCGTATGCAAATCAGATTTGGCGACTTTACTAGCTTGACGTACACGCAGCGACCCTCGCGGGGCTTCCTGGCCCCTGTGGTCCAGGGCTCTGGCTCTGGCCCGATGCCAGGGCCACCGGAGAAAAGGCCAAGTCTCATAAGTCCCTCCCCCAACCTTGACCTAGCTCAAATCATACAGAAAGAACCTGTCATCCAAGGGAAGGACCGTTTTGCCCCTCAACCACTCAAGGACTCTGCCAGTCCGGCTCCCACGCCCCCGTCTGTTGTTGCGGAAGATAGGTGTCGGGTTACCAGTTCAGGGGCTATAGTTAGCTGCGGGGACTTTGTTTAGCAGTCCGGGACCTGAGCAGCTCCTGCCCACACTTCAGACTTAATCTGCCGCAAAGGACCAGAGCCCCTGGCCGCTCTAGGCCTCCGCCAACCTCCAGGTGGGTCCTCGTCCTCGCCCCGCCCCTCTCTAGGCGGAGCCTTATAACCGCCCCGCCTATACCCTAGCAAGAACGTCCTGGAGAGCCTGGGTGTGGGGCCATCTGGTAGTTACAGACTAGGGCTTGAGATGGGGACAATAAAATCCGAAGCCCTGCCCATCCTTAGACTTGTCCCTGGTCTCGCCCCACATCACTCCTGACTAAGGACCCTCTGGGTACAGGAGGACGGTCCTGGAGCTCATCCAAGCCAGAACCCCTCCTCCTCTGTCTGGCCTCATCATCATCAGGATCCTACCATTCCGGGACTCCTCCAAGGATGATTCTGGAGGATCTGCTAATGGTCCTCAGTTGTCTCGGCCTGCACACCCTCTGGAAGGTAACTCTTGGGACTAGACGCTGAGGAGGTGGTGGTAGAGGAACGTTCAAGGAAACCCTCCTAGGTGACTCCTCTTTCTGCTAGTCCTCCTCTCAGGAACTTCTATTCCATTAGGGAGCCCAAGTGCCCAATCTCTCTCCCAGAACTCCACCTCCCTGCACCCCTAGCTCCCTGTGTGATTCTTCCTCCATGCTACCCCTCCACAGGGGTTGCCTTCAACTTTCTCCTTCATACCACAGGCTCTGCACAGATAAATCCCTGTACATACCAGTGTGCTGCTGTAGACCCTGAAAACCAGCCTTCACCCCCACCCCCGTCACACTCTGGGACTAGGGTTAGGTTGGGGACAATAAACTCCCACCCATCCCACCTTGAATTTAAAATAACATCTTCTAAAGCAGGAGAGCATGCAGGAATCTCAGGGTTGAAAGTGATGTACACTGAGCTGCAGGGCTTCCCCAAGGGTAAGGAGGATGGGGATCAGGGCAGGGACCAGACACTGGCTGCAATTTATTGCCCACAGACTGACTGTCAGAGCCAAGAAAGCACAGGAACCAACCAGACTCGTCTCTGGAAAGATGAGATGACCCCCTTTAGGTTGTACCACAATGGTCTTTACATTCTCCTCACAATAACCCTGTGAGGTTGGATATACCCTTAATTCATAGGAGAAGAATGTGAAGTCCAGAAAAGCTATGACCTGAGAATTGTTTAAGATCCCACAGCTAGCAGGTGGTGTTTAAACTCATGTCTGTCTGACTCCACTGACTGTGTTATTTATGCCTGTTTGGGCTATTGCCAATTGCACGCATCAGATGTTTGGGGATAGAAATGGAATTCTATCTATCTATGAGTCTGAATTGATCAGCCACTAGGACCCCTGGCCAGTGTTTTCAACTCACACTCTCGCCTGTGTGGTGTCTCCCTCCCTTATGTCCACAGGTCCAAGCTGTTCCTATCCTGCCCCTGAGCCTGGTTCCAGACACCTTCGATGATGCCTATGTGGGCTGCTCTGAGGAGATGGACGAGAAAGCAGGCCTGCTGCTAAAGGAGGAGATGGCACGCCACCCCCTGCTACGAGAGTCCTGGGAAGCAGCCCAAGAGGCCTGGGAGCACAGGCGTCACATGCTTACTCTACCTCCTGGTTTCAGAGCCCAGCATGGAATAGCTATCATGGTGTACACCAACTCGTCCAACACCTTGTACTGGGAGCTGAACCAGGCTGTGCGGACAGGGGGTGGCTCCCGGGAGCTCTACATGAGGCACTTCCCCTTCAAGGCCCTCCACTTCTACCTGACCCGGGCCCTGCAGCTGCTGAGAGACACTGGGGGCTGCAGCAGGGGTGATGGGGAGGTGGTGTTCCGAGGCGTGGGCAGCCTTCACTTTGAACCCAAGAGGCTGGGGGACTTTGTCCGATTAGGACAGTTTACCTCCAGCTCTCTGGATGAAACAGTGGCTCGCGGGTTTGGTAATGCCACTTTCTTCAGCCTAAGGACTTGTTTTGGGGCTCTTATCCAGGCTCTGTCTGTCTTCCCTGAGGAGCGTGAGGTGCTGATACCCCCACATGAAGTCTTCTTGGTCACTGGGTTCTTCCAGGATGGAGCCCAGAGAATAGTAACTCTCTGGAGTTCTAATCAGACCTGCAGCCACTTTAACTGCGCCTATTTGGGTGGTGAGCGATGCATGGGAGACAGAGAATGGCAGGGTGGGTGAAAGAAGCCAGCATGTCCTGACCCAGTCCCCAGAGCCTTCAGGAGATCTGCTTGGTTAGTGAGACTGAAGTTCTGCCAGGTCCTGTGAGAGTTTCAAGATCTGTGGACATTCTCAATGACTGTCTTCTCAAAAGGGTCAGTCTGTGGTACCCATTAGGCCAAGGAACTGAGTGAAGGAGGCCCTGGTTTGATGGGGCTGACAGGACAGAACTGTGCCAGGTCCAGTTGGGAGGCAAGAACAGACTGAAGAGTGGTGACGGTGTGGGTAGGAGCAAGGATGGATAGGCAATGTGGAAAGGTTACCTCAGGGAGAAGCTGAAAGGAAGTGAGTAGCCTGCTTTGAGGGGAAGAAAAAGAGACTGAAAGGGGGCTGGCCATAGGCAAGATATTTGGGATGTGAATTGCCCCAGGGCCTCACTGTGCTGTCTGTTGCAGGGGAGAAGAGGCATGGCTGTGTGTCCTCAACAAGTAAGTCACCTTCTAGCCTTCTCTGTAAGCTGTTCCTGCTCCCCTGGCCCTCCTGCCCACCTCACCTTCCTTTCTTCTTTTTCCAGCAGTAGGACAGCCAGAGTTATCCTCCACAGAGGCCTTGGCTCTGCGATCAGGAAAGACAATGCTCTTGGCCCCTGGGGAGTTGCAGCTCTCTAGAGCTGGACCCTGAAAGCCTCTTAGGAACTTTGGGAACTGATGACCTTTCTATGAAGAGGGGGCTTTGGGTGGCCCCAAGAAGCAATGGCATGATTCTGGTTCCAGTCCTAGGGGGCTACTTCTCCAACTAGGAATGGAGACCTGTGGCCAGAGTTGAGGGAACCCCACTATGTGGTGGGGACTTCCTAGGACATGTGAGGTCAAGACTGGATGGCTACTCAATTAAACCAAGTTGTGGTATAGAGACATGGTCTGTTACGACTGGTTTGTTTCACGAAGCCGTTTGTCCTTGGCAGGCTTGCAAGTCAAGTACTCAGAAGTAACTTCTTGATCCTCCTAGTCACACACTTTAACCTCTGCACCTGGAGCTTTTTAACAGCCAGAGGCCCTCACAGCTCCCTTTAAGGCAGAATAGATGGACTCCCAGCCCTGCTCGTCTTATGAGAATTGCAAGGCCAAGGAAGGGCAGCACCTCCATTCTTCCCAGCTCCCCCTCACTGGCAGACCTCCCCACTGGCTGACCCCCAACTGGCAGGTACCTCCACTCTAGGGCCTCTCCATTTTTAGTTCCCCCACTCTCAGGTCCCCCAATTCTCAGGCCTCCTGCTTCCCTGGTCTCTTCTCTCCCAGGCCTCCAGCCTTCTAGGCTAGAAATCTTTCCACTAAAGATCTAAGGAATCCCAAAGTAGGATTCTAAACCCCAGAACCCAAAACAAGCTGTTTCTCTCTGCCCTTCTCACATAGGGTCCATTTTAGGGGGAAGTAAAGGAAGGGATCTTAGGACATCAAGAGATGAGGATTGCTACCTGACTTCCACAGCAGAAATTTTACTGAGGCAAAGAAACACCATGTTCTACTACTAGCAGACCCTTGCTCTACCCAACAAGGCTGCTGAACTCAGTGACAGAAGAGACCCTTCTGTTGCATTAGGACTCGCCCTTGGTCTCCAGACCTTCCTCCAGGGGCAGGTCCTCTGCCCCGTCTGCTTCTTGCTCCCTGTGCACCAGCACATGAGCAGGGGAGGAGTGGCTGGGCTCTCCGGACACCGGAGTCTCAGCTTCCCCTACAGCATCAAGGTCAGCTTCTAAAGAGACCTCGGTCTCTACAATCCCTGGCATGGTCAGCTCTGCTGGAGTCTCAGGGGTGGGGGGGCCCAGATTCTGGAAGCTGTTGCGTACTCGGGTGATGTAGCGACTGAGGATGCTGGCACCATCGGGAGGCCGTGGTGTCCCGCCTGCCGCCAGAGTCTTCTGCACACTGGCCACCTCACTTTGCAGTCGAGACACAGTCTTGGTCAGCTCTGTCAGTCTGGTGCCCAGGTCTGAGATGGATCAGGACAGAGAGGTCTCTCAGAAGGTGAGCCTGTCAGCATCTCTTCTGTCTCCCCCACCCCACCCTACTGAACCCTGGGACACCCCGTCTGGATCCTAAGGGAGGGCTGGAAGAATTGAGGGGCTGGGCAGGTAGAAAAGCTGTGCAGGTGAATGAATGTAAGCATTGATGGTAGGGCAGCAACAAAGAAGGAAAGCCTTAGCCAGGCCTGGTGCAGGTCTGCAACCCCATCTAGTCGGGAGACTGAGGAAAGAGGATGGTAAGTTCAAAGCCAGCCTAGGCTTCAAAGTGAGCTCAAGACTAGTCTGGGAAGCTGGGTGGTGCACGCCTTTGATCCCAGCACTCGGGAGACCAAGGCAGGCAGATCTTTGTGAGCTCGAGGCCAGCCTGATCTACAGATCGAGTTCCAGGACAGGCTCCAAAGCTACACAAAGAAACCCTATCTGGAAAAACAAAACAAAACAAAAGACCAGACTGGGAAATTTAGTAAGACTGGACAGGAGAGGGGGGAAGAAGGGGAGGAAGGGAGGGAAGAGGAAAGGGAAAGGGGGAGATCAAATATGTGAGCACACATGGGTTGAATGAGGGAATGAGAACATAACGACATGTAAATAAAGGCAGAGTAATTGAGTCAGGTAACTAGCTGGGCTTCCCAGGGCGGAGAGGATGGAGAAGACTGCATCCTAACTGAGTGAGGGGGGGGAGTCTGGGTGTGGGGCTTACTTCCCAGAGAGTCATGAACAGCAAAGGGAAGGATTGGAGGTAGGCAACTGACCTTTCCTGCGGGTCTCCTCGAACTCACGCCGGGCAGTCTCTATGTAGCGCTGCACCAGAGCCTTGACAACACGAAGGCGGTAAGACCCGCGTTCTCCTTCCCCAGGCCTGGCCCTTGCCCCAGGGTTGGTCTGCAATGGAAGACAGAGTGAATTCTCTTCTCTACCTCCCTTCAGCTCTCTCTCGACCAAGAATAAAGGAGAAAGGCAAAATCTATGCAATCTTTCTGTCTCTGGTCTCTCTCATACAGCGCAGTCCTGGGGGACAGATGGGAGCCAACTAGGGGAAGTGGCCTGTAAGAGGACAGGCTGTCTGGGTGGTGAAGGCTGTGAAGTGGAGTGGGCTGGGAGGGAAAGACTACCGTAGAACTGGCAGCAACGGTCCACATTAGAAAAGCTCCCATGCCCAAACAGGCTGGGTTATGGTGCTGATGTTGGGAGGTAGGTGAGCCCCTTGGGTGGCCAGCTGCCTCTCTTTGCCTCTGTCAACCTTCTCGTTCCTCAGGAGGCTTTTTCCATTCGCTGTTTAAATCACCCAAGCACGTCTGACAGTCTGGTTGTCTGGCAGTCGGGCTTGGGATGCAGGCTGCAGGATGTGGGATTGGAAGTATAGGACCCAGCCAGCGCCAGGAAGATGGAAACGGAGGCTATGTGAGAGAGTGGGAATTGGGAGCAGGCCCTCTGGGGACATACCGACGGCTTAGGGCAATACGGGTGAGGAGACAACAAACGGCTGAGAAGGTACTCACAAAGGTCGGGATGGGGGGGTAGTCAGATTTCTTAGCTTTGCAGCAGGAGGAGCAACAGCAAAGGAACCAGAAAATTCTCCTGAGAGATTACCATGGTGAAAAGAAGTTAGTAAGGGACAGGGCCTAGGAAAGTGGGGCAGGAGCTGGGTGGTGCACAGGGGCAAGAGCAGAGGCCGTCACCTGACAAGGTAGAAGGCTGCCTTCGGGGAGGGCAGGATGTTGAAGGGCACAGGCAGCGTCAAGCCCTCTCGGAAGTAGGACAGGTAGAGCTTGGAGCGAGCAAACTTCCACTCCACATCAGCATCATCCTGGGCACCATGAGGCAGGAGGCTATGCAAGGTCCATGCTGGCACTGGCCCCTTGCTCACTCACTCTGCCTGTCTTTTGTCTTCCCATCCCTTATTCTCCAGTGTACCAACCACTTTCTTCTTGTTTTTATTTCTACCTCCATCGATCACCCATGTTTTCCTGGAATGCCTTTCCCTTTCCCATTCTCTATTTCTAACTTCCGTTTGCTGCTCAGTCTATTCTTCAGCCTGCAAATCCAACCTGTCCACTTCCTTCTTGTGTCCCCACTTATTACTCTACAATGCCTCTAAACTGCCACCACCACCACCACCACCATCATCTACAACAACAACAAGAAAAAGTGCAAAGAGCACTAGACCTGTCGACTGGCAATAGCAACAGCAGTACTGAAACCCTTCTTGTACAGTAGAGAACTTGTCCAAAGACATGAAACAATACTGGGGCAGAGCAGGCACCCAAGGGGCTTGCACCACGTTCCCCCCATCTGGCCTAGCCTGGCTCAGTTTACCCACCTCAATTTTCTGGAAGGAGTTGGTGATCATGGCAATGAGCATGTTGAGCAGCACAATGACCATGACGATGGTAAAGATGCCATACAGGGCCCGACCCACGAACTCAGGAACCAGGAACTGAGGCATGTCCACTACTGTGTGTTCTTCCATGCCAAACATGGTCCAGAATAGAAACTGGAATGTCTCGTTGAAACTGGCATGGTGGGACGAAGCAAAGGAAAGGGAAATGGAGGTAGGGTTGGGAGAGAAGCCTGGGTTCTTCCCAGACATACTCCCCTCCCCTGAAGACTTGGCAAAAGGTGTTCTGTGTCCATGAAGCCTTTTGGGCCATCCTTGAGAATATAGACATTTGCCATTTCTTAGCACCAGCCTTTATTTAAAAAATTATTTTATTTTGTAAACGCACATTTTGTATATACATATTCCATTTTGGATACACACACACACACACACACACACACACACACACACACACGTATGTGTGTGAGGATACGAAATGTGTACCATGTGTATGCAAGAGCCCCACAGAGGTCAGAAGCAGCAGATCCCTGGAACTGGAGTTATAGATAGTCTGGTGCTGGGAACCAAACCCGAGTCCTCTGCAAGAACAGAAAGGCCCTTAACTGATGAGCCGCCTCTCTAGCCCCTCCACCTTTATTCTTTTAGTCAGCCAGTATTTGCTGAATGCAGTGTAGTGATGGGGTGCTAAGGACACAGTGGTGTATAGGAAGCAGAATCCTGGGCTGGAGAGAGGGCTCAGAGGTTAAGAGCACTGACTGCTCTTCCAGAGGTCCTGAGTACAATTCTCAGCAACCACATGGTGGCTCACAACCATCTGTAATGAGATCTGGTGCCCTCTTCTGGTGTGCAGATATACATGGAAGCAGAATGTTGTATACATAATAAATAAAATAAAAAGATTTGTTTAAAAAAAAAAAGAAGAAGAAGCAGAATCCTGTCTTTTGAGACAGGGTTTCTCTGTATCACTTTGGAGCTTGTTGTGGGACTCACTCTGTAGACCAGGCTAGCCTCAAACTCACAGAGATCCAACTGCCTCTGCTTCACAAGTACTGGGATCAAAGGCGAGCACCACCAACACCCAGCCACAATTTACTTTTTTTTTTTTTTTTTTTTTTGTTTTTTTTTTTTTATATTTTATAAAGGGTATATAAAAAAAAAAAAAAAATCAACCCACATTCTTGGTCAGGCAGTGTTGGCACACACCTTTAATCCCAGGA